GCCTGCTGGCCTGCTAGCCTGCGAGTATGTATGTGTGTGTGGCTGTAGAACTAGGCCGGTGGATGGAGTGCCTTTAACGGCTTGGCTATATACTTGCAATGCATATTTGCTTGAATCTAACGCTTGGTCAGGGTTGAGGGGCGTCTGGAGTGTGTATGGCATTTGCTACTTTAGCTTTTAGAGTCTAAACGTTAATGGTCTGTCAATTATCGCCACCCAGTGAATGTAGCGATAAGATATCGCTCCAGGCGCAAGACTTTGCACACCCCCACACATGCATGTGTGTGTGTGTCGTGAGGTTCGAGTCTAGGGTGACGGTTACTGGTACACTTTAGTACATCATTTAGTGAGAATTAGTTATGGACACAGCCGCCCGCACAGCAGACTGCCTGCAACTGGACGGCTTCTTGGAATTCAATGCTTATGAGTAAGTGCCGCCCGGGGTTTGGGGTGGCCGCAGCGTCTGTTCCTTGCCGTTGTCCATTGGACTTCTTGGTTCTAGGGTCGACTGCTCGGTTGCCCTTTTTACATTTGTACTTATGAGCAATGGATGGGCAGCAGTACAGCATAAAGTTGAGCGACGCGACGGGTTCGGGCAGTCGTTAAGCACACCATAAAATGGTTGACTGACACTCTGCACTGGCAAAAGGAAATGGTAAGAATAGGTAAGCATATATTGTCAGGCTTGTGGAATAATTTCCCAGCATAAGATAGGGACAGAAACGAATTGATTTTCAAAGATTTTAATTTGGCTATTTAAAAATACGTTTAATCTAATTTAATTTACTGTAATTCAATACTTTTAGCTGTACTCAAAGTGTTTTCTCTTTACCCTTCAGCGCAAGCTAGCACATCATATAATAAATACATACGTATATATCCAATATGCACGCACACATACTCACACGCGGCCATTTGAATTCGGCTGCTAAGTATCCATTAGAAGCTGACGACGTTTGGGGCGGCAAAGAAGGTGGACCATTGCGTGGCAACAACAAAAACTACTATGCATTTATCTATTTAGACGCTTTTAGTTACGTTTTGGTTTCGGGTTTTCCTTCTTTTCCGCATGGGCTCAATGGGGGGGGGGGTCTTGAATTGATTTTGAGCAGCCATTTGGGCTTGGCCTTCGTCATTTTGCCAGTTACTTAAAGCTTTGCTCAGCCTTTGCCTATTTCCGCCAAGTTCGATTGCCATTGTTGTGCTTGTTTGTCTTGTGGAAGTATTTTTATTTCGTTTAATGCTTATTGGAATTTTATTATCAGCTCATATAAATGCTATATAATGTTGATATATATGTACAATGTGTGTGTGTACGTGCGTGTGTGGCACATACAGCTGCTCGGGGTAAATGCCAAAAATTCAGTCATGTACTGCCAATCGACACCGAATATGCCTGAGAAATCTTTTCATGACAATGTAGGGTGGGCAAGGACTAAGAGTACACTTGACCCACCTTTAACACAGACTAGATTTGACTTTGTAAAAGAAAAGATGTGCTATTCCTGATTTCTGAAAGCTGAAACTGAAATTAAGTGTGTTCACAAAGAGTTCCAACTTAGTAGTAAAACAACATGTTTTTTGGTTTGAAATATTTTCATTTTTATGTTTATTTAATGTATACTTTTTATGTTTTCTCCGTGCCTTTCATCGCCTTTCTTTCATTACTTCTTTTTGCTATAGTTAATGCTATGGTAATTATGCTTGCATAAAGTCGAAATAGTTTGCTTTTAATTTTAACTCGGGGTTTTTTGCAGCCCATTCACGCTTATAAATATCCTTTTGTTTATTACTTTAATTCATTTAGATTTGATTTAATTCTAAAAAAAAAATAACATTATCATTGCTTTAAAATAGTTTCAGTTTTGTCTATTCTTTTTTTATTTCTCAATTTATTTATTTGCCTTTATTTATTTTTAATGTTAATTGTTGTGCTTTTTATTGTGGTCTTACTGTACTACTTAGGTCTTTTGTTATATGAGAATTTTTCACTATTTTGCTTTAGCCTCTTTGTCATTGCAGTTGCCTTTAAGGTTGCATTACATATTACACAATTATAATCATAATCATGGTTATGGTCATAATCATGGTCATGATAATGTGGAAGGTCCTTAAGAGTATGATCTTAAATACTTATGTACTGACGTTTTAACAATTAGAAAACAAATGTAACAATTGATTAATTGATTTATATAAACAAATTTAAACAAATTGAGAACCCAATAACACTCGCAAGTATTTATATAATGTACTTACTTAATGATGATTAACATTACCCAGCTCGAATCTATTGGGTGGCATATCCATTCCATCTATCAATCATATAATTTGTGTGCCTGTTTAAAACTGAAACTCTCCGACCACTTTTCTATAACTAATAAGCGTTTTCTTTGGAAGAGCTTAACTAAAGCATTCGATTGGATGCTCCGTTTATGTTTCTGCTTCTCTTTTTTTTTGAAATTGTTGATTTTCACTCGAGCAGCCACACTTTTTCTTGCCATTTTGAGTGCTTTGATCTATTTAACTAACACACATAACGCATCTTTAAGAATCTCGAGTATTTTGGGATTATTTTTGCTAATATAAAAAAAACACCTATATTTCCATTAAATTTTCTATTTGGTTTCTTTTTCTTATTTCTTTATGGAAAAGTATAAAAATGTTTTCAGCTTTTCCCATAAGGTTCCATAATTATGAGATGGAAACATTTAGCGTACATGTGAGTACATACATGCTCATATGTAATTCTCAGCGTATGTATGCCTCTCTCGAGGAGTAAGTACTTAAAATGTATTATTTTAGCTTATCATTTTTTAAATATTCTTTAAATGTTTGACTTTTTATTGAATTTTACATTATTTGTCACATAGAAACAACGAAGAGGACGGTTATTGAAATCGGGGACCAAAATCTAAATATGTGTGTATGAAGTATGAGATGTGTTGTGTGTGTGATTGTGTATCATGATGCCGATTTAAATTCGTTACCATTTGTTTATTTCTTTGTTTGTGAGTAAGGGGCGTACTCAAAGTATTTCGAAATTAAGACTCTTTGCTTGCATATTCTAGTTCCATTTTTTTTTATATATTCTTTCCAACTGATTTTTAGTGTATTCGTGGATGGGTTAACGCACAGCCGCACTGTGACGCTTATGTCTAGTATAAATATATAGTTAGTGTAGTAGTGTGATCTTGTTCTAGATCCTGATCCGTTCCAAAGCCAGTTCCACATAGCACTACAGCATAAGCAAATTTAAGACGGCATCTGTTTTTTAATGGGCGAGTATTTCGGTCCAGGTTTCAAATCAAGTTTTCATGCTATTAAAGTTCCTTAGCTAGTTTTGATAAATTTATTTTTTTCTATTTGTAAATAGAAATTTATGCGCTAGCTTGCGCTTACCTCTAGTAATTTGTACGCCTACGCTTTAGATACCCTGATGCAACTTATGGTATAATTCTTTTTAAGTACCATTTTCTAGTACGTATTAGATTTAGATTATTTTTATTACTATTTTTTCTTCCAGTGCTTATCTTAGGGGTATATGTCTAGACATGACCATACAAAAAATACTGAATGAGTATTTTTTCGCGCACTTACTTAGAACGTTATTAAACAAGTGGCTTAAGCTAGTTTTAAATGCTCTTACATTTTACTAATGACATTATTTGTTTTTATGTATATCTCCCACATGGATCTATTTTGTAGAACTGTCATTCTTTGAGAATACAACCCAAGGATGTGGTTCAAGCAGTTGAGTCAAATTCAGCGCCGTTTTTAAACATGTTTTTATATTTTTGTTTGTTTGGGGCTCATTTGTTTCAGTGTGCGTGTGCGTGCATTTGTCGCCTGCTTGTCAAGTTTCATTCTGTACTTCAGCTTGATGTCTCGATCTATCGATAAGCTTTGCAAGTCGCCAAGTAGCCAAGTAGCGATGGATGAACGAATTGATTGCTTCTAATAGTTGGGCTTGGATAGAAATGATAGTCTTTTATGGGAGTTAGGGAATAATAAGTGTAAGGACGGGTTTCATAAAATTTCAATTCGATAAGCCAATTTATCGGCTAACTAAGTGTTGGGTAACGCTCATTCACTGCTATATATCAATTAACATATCGTTATCGTACCACGTTAGAAAGTAATCGATAGCTCATCGATTACAGCTTGACTAATTGAACAGCCCGCATATCAATTATCTTTAATATTTCTCTATATCTCTTTTGCTCGATGAATTCGTGTGGGGCGCTGACTTTGAGCCACTGCTTGGTACTAATTTAATTAGCAGTAGAGCATAGTTTAATCTGGATACCTTATTTGAAAGGAACACATCCCATCGATAGGATGTGTGCCGTCGTTCAATATTTTGTTTTTGTTTTCTTAATATTTTAACTAGGGTAAACGCAGCATTGAAGACAAGTATCAAAAGGGGGTGGGATTGGGGAGGGGTTATTTCAAATTTAGCATCGTGGTTATAGTTGCTTCTGGTAAGGATATGCTCTGCCATTGTTGAATTTGCTTAACAGGTTATCAAAATGTCTCGTTGGGGCAGTACAGGGTGTAGATGCAAGCTGTGCCTAGTCCCCGAGGTAAAAACGTACACAAACTGAATGCGTGATATGTAAAGTAAACATACATATACACATAGTAATTATATAAAACCATGTTTTCTATAGATCATGAAAGCGAAATACGTCTTAGAGGCTAAAATGATCTCACATCAAGTAACGATACAATATAAATATATATATATATATATATATATATATATATTATATGCTGAAATTAACTACAAGTTTATGTTAGACATTAGCTAAATGTTTAAAATTTGTGCCTAGCCTACAGCTCAGAGTACTTAACAGATAACTACAATCGAATACAAGACATATAACAGATTTAAATTAAATTTTAGACGCTATTTACAGAGCTATATACATAACCTATATACTGTATATATATATTTAAATATACAAGTGTATATATATTTTATATGCTTATTTAGTTTTGACTATTAACAATCTTACGAGTCTAATTGAGTTTCGAGCTTTGAGTTCAATTTCATTTTGTTGCTTTTGGCACAGTTTCGAGTTTTGAGTTATCGAACTAATCGACCTAATCGACTTGACGATTGTCGTTAATCGATTTTCGGGAACGTTCATATTGATGAGCTTAAAAGAAAACAAAGCATCATCTAATTGCCTTGCTTGTTGTTTCCTGTCAACTGTTGTTGTTTTAGTAGTTGTTGTTGTTATTGCAGAAGTTGTTGTTGTTGTTGTTGGTATTGTTAATAATCACCCCATGTGCATGATCTTTTTGAATGCTTTGCGAAATTCTGGATTGAATATCGTATAGATAACCGGATTGACAAAGCTATTGATATAGCCCAGCCAAGTCGTCAGCATAAACGCCGTCAGACCCGGCCGGCAGTCTTCATTGAATTTGGCGCACATGGCATCCATGATGTTGCACGTAAAGAATGGTAGCCAGCAGAAGAGAAAGACGCCTTTTGGAATACACACATACACATACACACAAAAACCAGTTGTTAGGGTATCAATTATTGTACTCAAAACGCAAATCGTGGCCAAAATTGGCCGCCATTTAGCTCTGACTTACCCAAAACGATGGCCAATGTTTTGGTGGCCTTGCGTTCCTTTTTCGCCGACGATTTTTCGCGTTTCTTTTTCGAGGCCTTGTGAACCTTGTATATTGTGAATCTACGATCCAGAGCCCACACGCAAGCGGCAGCAGCAACAGAATAATGAGCCATAATAAATTGCATTTAAAGTTGCATGCAGCAGTGAGTTAGTAGTAGAAAGAGAGAGAGAAACAAAAATACAACAAGGCAGAGAGAGAGAAAGTGAGTATTGTGAGTGCGGTGGCAAGTTGAGTCGAGCTATTAGCCAAATCAAACTAATAACTGCAATTTGGCTATTTGTCGGCGTCGGACTGTTACTCACCTTGACGCCTGCGAGTTTTTCTTATCCTTGCGCGAGGACGTCTTCGATGTGGTCGATAGCGTTGAGTCGTTGCGTGCCAAAGTCATGGCCTCCTGCACGCCGTAGCGCACAAAGGACAATGGCTTCATGGCAACGCTGCTGCTGCAAAACACAAGAGCAAAACACACAAAAGCATGTGGTCAGCACATAACTCGAATAAGCACAGCAGCTAATGCATGATATATAGTGTATTTACTAAATGTCTACACTGCACTTATTGTAAAAGGAAACCATGTTTTGACAATGACGAGAATTATTATCGTCACTTTACTTTCAACTCGGTAAATGGGTTGTCCAAGTGACCCAGTTATTTAGGCAACAGAACAAAGAATAATAATAAGAACATAAATAAAAATTGTGGAAAGTTGAAAGTTGCCCCCGTAGCGGTAGAATGGCTAAAGTCCCATGGTATTATATATACCTAATGAATTTATATCTTCATATTTAAAGTAAAGCAAAGTATAAAAATCCTAGCGTAACAGTTTTGCTAATTAAATTATTTCGTTTTAACAACTCCTCGACAGACGCATCGAAATCTGTGTAAATTGCAAAAGAGTTTTTAAGCTAATATTAATAAACAGATAAAAATAAATTAAGATTTTAATTCACTTCTTCGACATACGAAGGCAACATTTGAATTGATTTGGTTTTTGGCCCGCGGGATTTTTTTTAAGAGATTTACGTATGATTTTAATAGTTGTATATATGAACATACCTGAGGGCTGGCTCGCCGCGCTTGGGCGAGTCCTCGGCTGTGTTGCGCCGGCTGCTGACACTGGAGCGCTGCAAAGTGGCGCCGCTGGGCACCGGACTGTCCGGCGGCGTTGTGCTGCTAACGGCGGCGCCAACGCTCACTCCTGCAAGGACATCGTCAACGTTTGATGCTGCATAACCAGAATCATGATTACCATTCGGATCGGCAACAACCAGCTGCGGCTGTGTGGTGATCTGTGCCACAACACTGCTGTCACGAGGACCAAGGCAGCAGCGGGAACAAGGGACATGGAGGTGCAAGGTGCAACGTCCACGACGACGACGACGACGATTATGATGATGATGATCATAATGATCATAAAAATGTGGCAATCATACGCAATCCGGCAATGGCAATCAATCAAAGACAGACCGTGCAGTCAACGGCAACATCCAGAGGCAGAGCCAAGTGTGACAAGCGACGCACGGCAAGACGCATCGGGCGAAAGTAAAAGAAAACAAGGAGCAATGTCAATTAAAAACAAGGCAAAAATTGAGTTTTAATTAAGTGACGCATTAATTGAATTATTGAGATTTATTTTTCTCTGCCTGTCTATCGGTCCAACTCTAGGTTGGGCGCGTAGGCGGATGTAGAGGCGGAGACGGTGTCGACTAATTAAACAGCAAGCGGTCAGAGACCGACAGACGGAGGTTTCTTTTTTCCCAATTATGTTCGGTCGCGGCAGCCCTTTGGTAAAAAGTTTTCAATATGGTTTGCTCATTCCGTCGATTGTCGGGTTGACCGCTTCTCAGACCGCCCTCCTGTCTCCTGTCGCCTGTCCGCCTGCCTGCGTAACCAGCCGCCTATCAATAATGGTTTCATTTCATGTCCTTATTGGATTAAAGAGCCCATCAGATCGCTAATTGACTGTGCTTAACGTTCGCGCTGTGTTATGGCCAATATCTATTGGCATCTCTCTCACTCACCTACCAAGTGTTTCACTTTTTTCCCAGGCTCGTCAGTCAGAGCCCAATGCAACTGATAAAAAGGATATATTCGAAGCCTGTCTGTTAACTCAGCCAAATACACGATATGATTATTCTTTGTGCATAATGCAATAAATTTATAGTGTTTTATACTTGCTGTAGGTATTTTAAAAACTTTCTTCCATGAGGGAGTTTTTTATCGAGTGTCGTTTTCTAGGGTGGCGAACCAAGGTTCGAATCAAGACCTGGGTGCACGTGTGCGGAGCAAACCGATCTTAAAGGTATTGGTTAAACACTCGAACAATTTGTTAGCTTTAGTGCATTGACATAACAAAGATCTCCAAAGAGTATTAAAAGCGCAACCCAATAAATAGCTCGTATTTTGGGTACTCTATCAATATGTCTATCAATATTCTTCACAGGACAAGTGGACTTGGCATTAATGGAGTATGAGTACCAAAGTAACGAAGTGCGTACCCAACATCCTCAACATATTTCTTTAAGCCCATTAATATACTAAAATAATTATAATCGAGTTTTTGTGATAAGGATAAGGCTAACTCAAACTTCTAAAACAACTTAAGACATTCCCGCAATTGTTTCCAGAGCACATAAGTAGGCGTTGACAGTTCAAAAGCAGGAGCTACGCTGCTTGTAGGCTGGAACTCATTATAGTTAGACTCTCACAGCACGCGTAAAAAATCAGAAAGAAATATATATATATATATATGTATATATATATGGAGCTCAGCGTCATCAGTGAAATATATTTATATGGCTCAGTATATACCAAACCTATCTAAAAATGCCAAATTGAAAACTCTAAAAAGCAATGAGATACAAGTTCGCGTCAAGTCAGCTAATAATGTTAGCATTATTTGGAATTTGAAACGTGACATTGATGTGTTCCGTCGCTTGAAGTAGACTTATGAAGTACGCCTCGCAAATTTGAAGCAACCGGCAAAGGCCCAAGGCAATACTAGCAGTGGGGGAGTTTATGAAGCTTATCCGTATAGGACCAGTCCAATCGTAGGTTCACGATTTCAGTCGTCCCTTTCGATTGCAGTGGTGGAATGCGTATAAGGAGGCTAACATGCTTTCCCATAGATTAAATGTCCAGCCGCTCATCAAGATTTTACGTAGTATATGCCTTCCTCCGAGCACTTTACGTTTTTCGATCGGTTGCACTAGGCAAATAATGAAGAGCCTCGGATAAACCGCATTGTCTCTCGTCGAACGCAGCGTTCGATTTGTGACATTTTTTGTACTAATAAACAAGTTCAATTAAGCCCTCCGATCCTTTAAAATATATAAAAATTTTTTGAATCTAGTCTTAAAACAGCGCGTGTTTAACACCTTTTGCAGAACGGGTAGGTTGGCGGTAATCCTGCGATACCAGGAATGGATGACAGCACTAAAGGGAGCATTGGAGGATACTCTGCCAAAATTCCGATTAGATAGCTCCTCGCAGCAATTGGTTGCCAATATTATGTATGTTACGGGTGGCTTCGCTTTTACTTCCACATGGACCACAGTAGCTTTTCGCTTAAGTTCGTTCAAGTTGTAGACTTCTTTTTGCTCTCAGGACTCATGAAATTTCCGTCTAGTACGCTTTTCAGCTGCCATAGATAAATCAGCATACCATACATCGCCTTAACCAAATATATTTTGGTTACCTTAGTATGCCGAGTTATTCATTTTAAAATTATTTTATAAACATTACGAACATATTTCTCACGTAATATTTTTTAAATTAAACAAACTTTTGGAGCAAGACTTAATTAATTGTGTGATCGCTGCCGCGCGTTATTCGAGAGAGATTTTTTAAAATTGGATTCGACTGCCAACGTGAAATGCTTTATTTTAATACTGTCTAAATCGGTTCTGCTAAAAATATATATTTTTTATATACTTATTTACGGTATAGGCAGAAAGCAAGAATCGAGCAATGGATTCCAAGGGCTCTTCACCAAATGGTTAAATCACATTCGAGTATTGCTTTTAGCGAATACTGTGTTCATTATTAATTATGTGATTTTTTCTCCACCAACAGATTATAATAAAAGTTGTGATGACACCCCGAAGCGTAAGGTATCCCAGTCCCTACATGGACGTTCCGCTCGCGAGCTGGATGAGGAAATTATTAGATTGCGTAATGAAAACTTTAACCTGAAGCTTCGTCTTCACTTTAAAGAGCAGGTTAACGAAGATGGCGCACGTGCCAATACTTCCAACGAGGCATTGGCTAACGAGTTGGAAGACGCCAAAAGTGTGATCCATGCGCTGCGCCTAGAGGTCGGCGAGAAGACGCAACTGTTGAAGGATGCTGCAGATGCAATATCCGAGCACGAGGACAAGGAAAGGGAGTTCGTCATGGAGAGTCAAGCGAAAATTGCTGAACTGGAAGGCTACGTAGCACACTTGCAGGTCAAAATAATGCTTATAGCTTTTAAAGATAGGAATACTCATCGATTTCCTTTCAGGATGAAAAGCCCCTGGAAGCGCTCTTCGCCAAAGATCTGAAGCGTATGGAAGAAAAGGTTAGTACGCGAATCCATTTCCTACACACTACACAGGCTCACATACATTGTGCAGCTGTCTCGACAAGCCGACGATCTACATAAGGCTAAAAGGCAAATTGAACAATTGAAAAGGGAACTGTCCGAACGGGATAAGGAAATACTCTCCTACGAGGAGAAACTTAAGGAGAGTACCGCCGAAAATTCCGATATGATGAGCCTACTCCAACAGCATTACAGGTTCAGCCTCATGGCGAATGTAAGTACTTTAAATGTAACATTATGCGATTATGTGCAAATTAATCGGAACTCTTAGCAAATGATGGAGATACAAAAGAAAGAGCTAGATGCGTGCTTGGTTGAGAAACTGGGCTTTATAAAGAAGATGAATGACATTCTGCCCGAACTGAATTGTCAGAATGAGTTGTTAAAAGAAGCGACAATAACTGTGCAGAACCTCTTAGTAAGTGCTTATGCCATAGTGTAGATAGTTTTGCTGAATATTTAATGCTGAATACATTTATACCATCCAATGTATTCGGTACCGATTGTTGTAATCCCTAAGCCCCTAAAACTATCGATAGAGTCGATCGACTCACTCTGCTGAAATTTGTCTGACTGTTTCTAATCCATCCCAAAGGACACGACGGATCTTAAAGAGAGCTTCTCACGGGAATTGCTGGCCAATTATAAAGCTGCTATAATGGAGTCAAAAGTGGAAATTCACAATATTACAGAGGATATCATAAAGTGGACGCAATCGCATGGACTGGACTGTGCCAGCAATATGAATGTAGAGAGTAGCTCAAGCAGCTCACAAATTAACTCTGAAGTATCATCGCAGGATCTGCTAGGCTCTTGCTCAGCCGAGTCATCACGGTTCTCGCACTCAGCGCCAGTTGAAGAGGTGCTCATCAATCAATCCACTTCATTCATACACACAGTTAAATATAGTTTCATTCTTGCCTCTAGGATGACAGTCCCCAACCTGCTAAGGTACGCTCCTCAGGTAAACACTTGCGTGGCCATGCCAAGTCCAGTTTTACCGGACTTCGTCAATTTGTTAAGTGTTGGGGCCGCCAGTACTCGAAATAATCGTGCCACATTTCAAAAGGTCCAATATTTTAGTTATTTCAGTTGTTGATTATTGTGGAATAAAAAAAAATTACCGAAACGAGGGACATAGATTGAAAAATTGAAAATATCACAAACATAAAAGTACAGTCATATAATATTTCTACCCTACTCGCGGTAGTTGTCTCAACATTATTATGTATTATGTATTATGATTTGTTTCCTCTTTAATCGTGGAATATCCCTGCAGGTTCGTGCTACTAATTGCAATTGCCACACAGTGGCATGTGGCAATTGGTATGTAATTCCCCAAACAGATTTTAAGATTTCCCAATGTGGGGCAAGTTCGTTTTTGTAAATGTGAAAGCAAATGCTGTGGCAGACAATCGGTAGTTGCAATGAAATTGCTCCGAAAAGCTGCACTCGCATGCCCTTGCCGGAGCCCTTAATAAGAGGCCAAATCCTCTAAGCACGACAATTGCAACAAAAGCCAACAGTCCCAATCCCAGTTCCAGATACAGATACAGATATAGATGCAGACCTATTCGGAGACTTGGCTACCACGTTTGCTCGAATGGGATGCTGAGTGCTCAGTTTGGATTTTCATTTTATTGCAGCGCGTGTGAATTCAAATGAACAATCTGTGAATTGAGTTTTGCCTGCCAGACAGGGCCCAGTGCCAAGAAGTTGCAATTACGAATGCTTTGACAATTTTCTTTGGATGCCACTAAGTGGAAGGTGCCGCTAAATGCATTTGGGAGTGCTTCGAGTCCGTGCCAGCGAAAGCGGCAGCCGACCTCCAATTTGTTGTGTCAGCAGCTGTCCAATGAGCCACTAAGACTCCACTCTGCTTATCTTTTACGTGCCGCACGTGGCAGCAATGGCAACTAAAAACTTAAAATTGACTAGCAGGTGGCCAGGTGGCAGCTGGCGGGAATTACCGGAATTACAGCTACGCATCCTCACATTCTCTTCCTCAACGTGAAATGTAAAACACGTCCAGAAACAAAATCAATAAACTAAATGTCAATCTGGATAGTATGAAATATGAGTTGCTTAAATGGGTATTTTTGTTTTAATTCCGAATGTGATTTTCCCTTTGTGTAATTTTACGGCCAAAAAGTTGTATCACTTAGGCGCAGACTAGCTGATTTAATAAGTACATAACACTTGATACTGTTTTTGCCTTCGCTTAATTAATTTGCAAAATAAGTTACTTTGAGGAGTTAAATATTGATATTATATAATATGATTCTTAATTAATATTATGCTAACAATGCACAAGTTTTATGTGTTCACCGTCGGTATTATTGATTGAAATTCTCAACTTTCAATATTCCCCAAATTATTCACCGCTCGGCAAAGCTACATAGTTTTCCTTAATGCTTATGAGCTTTTCCTTTTAAGCAGTTGCCAACGCCGAGCCCAACTCCCATTCCATAGCTTCACTGTGCTTCCCAGCCCTTACATTTTCCCTCTATCCACGCATTTACCCAGTTACCTTTCACACTTTCTATTTTATGGCTCGGGCAGTGACAGGAAAAGTGCTGGCAGCACAATTTCAATGGAGCGTTGGGTGACCTGGTGGTGACTGGGAGGGGGGTTTTGGCCACTTAGTTACTTACTTGCCGGTTTCCTCGACGACTGTGGCCAGCATAAACTCAGTCGACTTATCGTTCACAATGACGTGGCAGTCGTCGATATCGGGCGATATGGCATTCTCATCCTCCTCCTCGTTCGAGCCGCTCGCCGTGTTCGTTGCCGGCTCGTCGGGCATGATGCGGCTGGCGTGCCGGCTGCTATCCAATGCCGTCTCGGCCAGGCGGCGTGTCTGTGCAATGTTCTCGATGACACTGCCGCCCGTCAGCTCCGACAGATGCGGCTTGCGGGCAGCACGTTGTTTCCGAGCACGGCTGCGCAGCGCCTGGCCAACAGAAAGAGATGGGAAATTGTTCAGTAAAAGCTTTGCCTGCTTCGTTTGCAATATTGAGCTGCATCCCACAGCCCACAGCCCCCATCCTATACCCTGACCTTCCGCCTCATTTCATAGGGCATGCCAACAGCTAATGTACGTGTAAACAAATCCGATGGGAAATTGTGCTTAAATCAGCAGACTGAATTCATTGTCAACTGCATGAATATCTAATGCAAATTCAAATGCAAATCCGTTTTTGATTAGCTCGCGGCTGTTTGCTCACCTTGAATATGTTCCAGTAGAGGAATACCATGATGATGCATGGTATATAGAAGCTGCTGAGCGATGAGTACAGTATGAAGTCAGCATTGTAGAAGGCGCACACATCCGGCTCCCGATTGGGCGTGTTGTTTAATCCCAGCACTATCGGCGATCCAATAGCAGCCGATATCGCCCACACCAATAGTATCGTAAGGCAAACTCGGCGACTATTTTTGTGCTTCGCATACTTTATTGGCTGCGTCACAGCGATGTATCTGCAGATAGCAAAGATAGATGGAATGTCCACCCAGTATAAGTGAATGGAATGAGAGCAATGCTGTGCTGCAGCGACGGAATGTCTTTTTATACCTGTCTATTGAGATGGCGACTAAATTAAATATCGATGAAGTAGAGCATATCACATCCATGGCTATATAGAAATCACAAACAACATTAGGCAATGCCCATGCACCATTCACCTGTAAATAGACGCAAAATAGAGAAAAATTCATCAGTTTTGTGTAAGGGCTCAGGTATATTTAACTTTAACCAATATAAACGAAACTCTTGCGCCCGATTTCTGACCCACTTTGGGTAATTTTCTAAAGTACATATAAAAGAAATATGCAAGTTAAAAAAAAAGACTGATGCGGTTACAATGGTATAATGGTAGGCAGGGCTTTCTTAACAGCAACATTTCGCAAGCCTATGTTTATTTATCACTCGTGTCTATGGACTTCTCAGTTTTTTTTTGTAAATATTCTCCAATTCTCTACTAAAAGCAATCGAAATTTGTAATAATTTTTAATTAATTATTGTCCCCAAAGCGAAGAATATTGTGATATAGTTCCTCAACATTGTACACGCCCATTATACCGTCTACTTAGAACCCGGGTAGGTCCTAGGGCAGTCCCAACATCTGTACGTCCATAATAGCCTTTGAATGTTAGGTTATCTGCTACGGATGCCTGAGAAGTCATTTTAAACAATTATTTTTGCATCATTTGAGTGAGTAACAATTTTTCTTTAAAAGACATAAATTTCTATTGGCTGTCCTTTGTTATGCCGCTTTGGACAGCGCACCAAAGATGAATGGATTCCATTTTGCAGATAGGACTTGCTATCGCTGCCAATACAAATACATTTAACGATGTCAATTTGATCCTAAGTGTCATATGGAAAAGCAATTTAATTTCCAATTGCCAACCAAGTGTCTGTGTAAGACTGCGTGATTCGTTGTTTGCAATAATCTCATTGCTTCAGAGCTCAAGACCTTAACAGTTTCACAGCTCTGCCAGGCGCTGCCCAGAACCAGATGTGGAGAGAGAGAGACAGAAAGTCAAACATAAATCCTGGACGGCTGTCGACCATTGTCATCTATCAATAACAATATTCTTTCGTGCCCCAGCTACAAATTAGTTTTTCGAGTCTATCTTACGGCGCGCATCTATGAGTTTCAGTTTACTTGCAGCCGCACCGCACCGCACCGGACTGGACCGCCCGTCCCGCAATGCCGCGCCCCGCCATCGTGCCGCCCATTCAAGTCCATAAAAACCTCAACAATAACGCAAGGAATTTCGAAAGCCAAACAATTTGTAGCACACAAAGCACATAAAAAAGGCAGGAGGCAACCTAACCAAAGGATGATCAGGCCTGGTGTGTAGTACGCGCTGCGTATCTGTGTGAAACTGACAGGCACACACACACTCACTCAAACACACACACACACACACACAGGCGCACAAATACATTCTGGCATCCATTTTTTCCGCATTCCGGACAATGTGGGGGGTAAATAAATAGAAAGCCGATCGGTTTATATTTAAAGTAGGCAAACAAAATCCACAAAAAGTGCAAAATATTTGATAGAAAACACGCACACACATACACACACAGCAATACACAGCAGAGTGAAAGTGAAAGTCAGGCGAAAGCATCAGAGAAATGTACGAAAATAGCTGAGCTGAGCTGCGAGACGAGGATAGAGACGCAGCCTGGGCTTAAGCGAGCATAACAAAAGTTGAGCAGCGCTAAGAAAGTGGCAAAAACTTTTTGATATAAAGACATACGCACGAATGCTCCCTCACATACACACACATGCACGCACACACACGGACGCACACGTACACACACTAATAGATATATACATAATGTAACACGTAAGCTGCTCAAGAATTTTTACAGCGTTTATTTGCTTCCTGTTCTCTATTGTCGCCGCTGTTATGGCACACCCCCTCCTACCACCCTACTACCCTACCACCCGCCCACCTTACACACTCGCACACTTATACACACACACACACACTCACAAATGTCCTTTTTGCTGGCATTGTATGGCTGATTGCGTATACGCCGCGTTAGCTGCCTGAGAATTGCTGCCCCGCTGTAACTGAAATCCAACTATAATTTATAATGTATTGGCATTTTGGTTGGGCATAGAAAAACTATTTTGCTATTCGCATATCGCAGACAGACGCCTTTATTTGTGGCGCCAACTGAAGTGTCCCCAATCGATTATTTGATCGTCTAAGTGAATCAAATGTGGCTTGTGGCCTGAGCCATTGCTTTAATCTAAATTTTATAGCTCCACTGCAAATAGTCAAGGCATTTCAAAGCAAGTTCCGCCCATAAATATATTTTACTTGCGATCCTATTTAAAGTTGCCCAACTGCATTTTTATACAAAAGGCCAGACAAACACGTTGCACACACCCCAAGTAGGGGCTTATGCCGGTTATCTCTTTTCCTAGCGACGAGTCTCAATCTGACTAGCAGGCTTTCCATGTGTGTGTGTGTGTGTGTTTGTGTGTGTGAGTGTCCTTTCAGAAATGTTCAATGCCTTGCAATTTATGTAGATTGTGCGCATAAGTAAAGGCATTTAAAGGTAGTCGGACCTTCAATTTGACGGTTAAGCTAGCGCTCAACTGCATCTCTCTCGCTCTCTCTATGTCTCTCTTTCTCTGTTTTGCTTTCCCTCCATTTCCCTCGGCTTTTACAGTAGCAGTTCATAAAATAAATAAATTTATCTATTTGCACAGTCAAAGGCGACCACAGATACAAAACCTAAAGGGACAAAGCCCTCAAAAGAGACGCTAGCGACAGCGACAATAAGAATGGAAATGCGTATGCGAATGGCTATAGAATACTCGCCATACACACACACAAACACAAACACACACACACACACAAGCACACGCACATACACATACTGATACACAAACAACAAAGCACACGTAGCATTTTGATAATTGAGCTTCTGGTTTTTATAGCTTGCACGCAGATAGAGCTCAGATGTCTGGGTGTGTGTCTATCTGTGTGTATGTATTTGTGTGTCTCATTGGGTCTCTGTCTCCCACACATTCTCTCTTTCTCTCTCCCTTTTTCACTGTATCCCCTTGTGGTAAGCAGCTGAATGCCTTGAGAGTTTGTTGCCGCTACTTGATGTAAGTAACTACTTCTATAAATCGGTAAATCCAACAACTTGTTCAAGTATACAAACCCGATACTAGAAAGGAACCTTGAGTCCTTTCTCGATGGAACTAATTTTTATAGAAGCAGCAAAAATGTATACAAAATTAAATAAGAAAACGCAAATCTTTAGTCAATATCTATTGATTAAATTAAAGCAGTATCAACAATTGAGGTTACTGTTTAGAATAGAGAAGACGCGCAATATATCAAAAGGCAAGTAACATTTATCAAAAGATAATATCATAATAAATGAATACCAAATATTTTTACAAATTCAAAATAATTTATGGTGTACTTAAAATATGGAATTCAATATTTTGAAGCACTTGCAGTAACAACCTGTCAACCTTGCCTGGCTCAATTATTTTCCTTCTGAAACTCGTATTCATTATCCTTTCCATTCAAATTAAATCTAAAGAGTTGCCACCCTTCAGTAGATATTTTAGCATATTTTATTAAACGATGCTTAAATATTGAGCCCAGAGTCCGAAAATTAGTTTCATTTGCAAATAGCTGGTGTTTTGAACTAGTTTTTGACTCGCTTTGCTTTAACTTAGTTTGAGGAATTCGCTACCATTTTAAAATCTTAAGTTGGTTTATGCACTTTCTCTGAAACTCTAATTAGCAATTAACGATTGCAGCAAGTGGGGTGCAGAAGTAGATTCAATTCTGGAATTAAGAAGAACTTTAAATAAAAAATAAATACCAACAATATATAAAATACTATGAAAAGCCGCGGCTGATGTATCAATCGATGATTCAAGCGAGTCAACCGTAGCCTATATTGGTTACGGTTGCCGTTACAATTCAGTCGATCCGCCCCAATACGTCGATTTAAATTCACAAAGGGTATTATTATTTTGTTACGACGTGTGTAATGCATAGAAGGTGACAAATACGACACTAGAAAATATATATATATTCTTGATCTTGATCTTTGTTGCAGTCCCCCAAATTGAATCCTGGTGCAGGCGTTACATCTATCGCGATCGGCCGGATCGAAATACTTTATGCATATGGCATAGGAACATGTGTCATAAAGTAAGGACTTGCATGACAAATTTTCTTGTTCTTCAAGATACCTTGATATCGCTCTCAAAAAAATATGTCGAAATAAGAATTTTTGTCTGATATCTCAACCAAATTCTATACGATTCTCTCCACATATTTGTACAACCCTAAGCCAAATATCTACAAGAGTATTTAATCTTCGGCGTGACTTTACCGTTTTCGTCTTGTTTTTTAATATTTTTCGTTTATTATTACATTTTTTTTTTTGCTTCTGTTTTTGCCGCGGGCATTTTCAGTGTCCAGTGAGCAAGCCGGGCAGATGGAAAAGCTTTTAATTAAATTCTACTGTCGGAGCCAGCGATGTTTATTGTAGCTGTTGCCGCGCTGAACGACGAGGAACAAGCGCAGATTGAGCTGCGGCTGGGTGGGTCGACTGGTTAGCTGGAAGGAGAAAAAGCGCGGCGAGCTTGATGCCAATTTGTTGGACAACTTTTGCATATTTTTCTCACTTTTGCTAAATGTTATTGCTGCTGTTTCTAATTGTGTTTAGGTTTTGTTGCTGGCGTTCTTCATGTGGATGGTTGGGGCCATTGTTGCTGCTACTGCTGCAAACAGATTGTTCACCTACTCCTAAAAACCTGCATTGGGCTACTGCTCTGGCTGAGGTGAGAACTTATAATATGCCTGCATTGTGACGTAGGCAACCATATTTTGCAACTGACTCCGATTCTGATTTTTCATTAATTAGTTCCAATTACACGAATGCAAATATAGTGTGTACTCTCTTCCTCTCTCTCTCTCTCTCCCGCACTGTGTTTGTGTATTTGTGTTTGTATTATTTTTACTTGCTTATCAACATTTATCACGGCCAATTGGCGCAGCAACGCGCTTGACCATGATAAAATGTAGGCCTGTAAGGCACTGTTTAATTTTTGGATGCATGTGTACGTGTGCTTGTGTGTCTGTGCGTGTGTGTATAGATGTCCTGGTGTTGTTTTCGTCTGTGGCTGCTGCTATTTCCTGTTCGCTTATCTGTTGCGCAGCAGAAATTTCTTATAGGTGGCACTTTAATGTTGTGTTGAGTGGACTTTATAGAAATCCAAAAAACAGTTACTGCAACAGTTTTTCGCTCATTTTCCGACAGTGGGAGTGGTTTTCCAAAATCATTTTTTCTCTCACTGTCTCTCATTCTTACTCTCTCTCTCTCTCTCTCTCTCTCTCTCTCTCTCTCTCTCTCTGTCTCTCTCTCTCTCTCTCTCTCTCTGTCGTTTCATTTTGTTTGTTTGGCTCTTTGATTGCAAGCAGGATGCTTGCAGGATATGTGCGTGTTTTCAGCTATATGTAGGACTTCCACTCCCTCGGGACAAAGTGCACGTGTCACACGCTTGAATACTTGTTTTTGTCGTTGTTGTTACTCTCGTAGGTTGTGCGTATTAAAACTTCTATAGCCTCGGGCGTCTTCTCTAGTTGTTAGTGCCTTACTTACGCGTGCATAGCAAATGCGAGATTCTGGCATCAGCTTGGCAAAACTTTTCAAATGTTGATTTTTTATTGTTCTCAAAGCAAAGTACTTGCGCTTTGTTATGTCGTTCGTGACAACACGGGTATATGTATTCCATTTAAATTGGTCAACCCAGCCAAAGGCGATTATAACATTTTTAAATGTCAGTTCCTTAATAATTCTCCGTTTTGCGCTGCAACTTAAAGAGAAACCGCATTTGTTGGCTCTACCATCCAATTCTCATGAATTCAAATGATGCTTTCACAACTATTAACTATCATACGTGTTATATTAATAGGTGGTTTTGCGGTTGTGCGTTTGTGTATGTTTGTGTACTTCCTAATGATTTTTTATATTTTTATATTTTAATATATAAAAAGACAAAATGCTATTCAGCCATCTTGGATATGATCTTGAATATATGTCTTCATATTAAAATTTTTTTAATTTGTATGAGGGGGAGCCCCTCTCTATTAATCATATTATAATTGGCTTGGATTTGACAAACAAGAATCTGTTTTCTAAGATCTCATTCTCTGTCTTAACTTAAAGATTACTCAAGCCAACTTCTGAAAAGATTATTGGGCTCAGGTATTATAACACAATCATCTCAGCTCCAGGATGGGCTAGCTAAAGCCCAAGTCAGTCAAGGGTTTGACTTTGGCCACCCAACCTATACATGCATACAACATTTACGTATGTCCTCCATGTTAAACGAATAGTTTTCATAGAAACTATTCGAATGCCAGAGTTCTCTAAACTTACGACTGGTTAAATTTATTGGATTATTTGAATACCCGAAGCTTATTTAAAGCTGTGCCCGGACTTTGTTTTTGTTTAATTGAATTTGCATTTAACGTAATCTTTGCCAAAGCATTTTGCGGTGCCTGCGGAGCGGGCAAAAGTTGCGTAAAAAGTCCAAAGATGGAATTTTAAGGCCACGGTCGAAACTTTTTCCGTTCGGGGTTAGTTCATTAGACTGATTTTGCACTGTGAGTTGAGGTTCTGGCAAAAGCGTTTAAAAATAGCTCAGCCATAAGTCAAATTAACTGCCAAAAATATGTCAGGGAGTGTGGATCTGTGCTCTAGACTACGTGCCACAGCCAAAGCCGGCACGGGGGGGGGGGGGGGGGGGGCACGCCCACATGGCGTGTAACCACGTCGTTTAGCCAAGCAGCTTGGCTGTGGTTGGCACGAAGACTGAAAGCAACAGCCTCGAGTTGTAATCGTGGCACTTTTGGACCACGTGCCACAAGTCTGACCACACACAGACACAGACAGAGACACAAAGACAGACGCAGCACTTTGAATTGCTGACATGTGAGTGTAAATTGAAGGATTCAGGCGAGTGTAAATAAAATCAAATTATACAAAGCCCGCCGCATTCGAAACTCAAATTTTTGGCAAAAGTTTGGGCAGTAAAACCTCAAATAAAACTAGAAAACAAAACAAAGATGGCAAAGCGTTTGAGGATGAAAAACATCTTGATGATTCACATCATGTTGATTTTTATGCTAATTTTGCTGTTGATTTTGAAGTTGATGCTGCTGCTGCTGCATTTCGGACCTAAATCAAAAAACTTTGCCAGATTGGACGCGGCCTTGGCTGGGTCATCGGCTGGGATTCGGCCATGAGCCTCAACTATTTTATGCGGCGCATAATGAGCATAATTTGTTACGCATATCCAACACTCGCCCCTCACACGGTTGTTTGTAGCGCCTGCGGTCGCCCACTAGAGTATCAAAACTCTGTTTGAAGTTGAAAGCGTTTTTGGGCAAAATTTGCAACAGAGTGTCCAAAGCTACTAGAATTCTAGGGCTGAGGCGGTTTCGGGGGCCGATGATGTTCCCCAAAGGGTTGTCAGCTTGTTATGTTCGCTCGCTGTTTGTTTTTTTCTTGGAAAATGTTTACCTACTTTTGGTTTTATAATTAATTTTAAAAAGCTTTTAATGGCTGGCACGCGTTGCCCAAGATGGCCAACCGTCAAGCCCCTGACGACGGCAATTGTGTGTGCGTGCGAGTGTGTGTGTGTGTGCGTTATTAAGGGGGTGTCAGACCATTCCCCTCGCACTTTCCGTCAGTCACCAACCACTGCTGCTTGATCCTTGAAGCAGCTAATTGGCTTGGCAGTGCGTACATCTCACTCAAATCGTCATTTGGCTGGCTCCTAGGCAAAGGAGGGCATGGGTTCGCCTTTGGTATGCAGATGAAGATATTAGGGGCAGGAAATGTGCTCACTCAGAAATTTGAGATGTAGCTAAACTGGGCACTACCAACACGACATTTATTAATGTTTATAACTGGCCTGTCAGTCTATTCAACACTGAGCATGTCATTTAAAATGGTTTCGTTATTTATTTTCTAGCTGATAAGTAGATTTAAAAAATATCTAGCTTGTTTGTGGGCTTTAATGTACTCAATGAATTAAATAATTTTATTCTTTTATTCTTTTTGCATCCTGAATGCACATAAAATAATATTACTTGCTATATAAAAGGAAATGTAAGAATATAAAATTTTATTGATTGTTAATTTTAAAAACTATTTATGGTTCGGTGCCTGGCTACAGCATCCCATGCTGGCCCTTTAGAGGTCGCTCATTGTACTTCCATTTCGGCAGCTACCTCACGCCTCCTCCCCTGTTGACGTCCATTTTGCGACAAAGGCGGCTGTAAGCTGCTGCATTAAGCGTCAAAGTCAACCACTTGAGCGCTCCTCGCCTTTGCTGCTGGCCACCTTCCCCCCCGGCGCCGCTTACGACTCGTTTAGCAGCTGTTGTCGCTGTGTGTTGTCAGTTTTGTTGATGTTTGTCGCAGGGAAACGACATGATAAACGAGTCAGCGTAAACGAGTTTAGTTGGCAAGTGATAAACCAAGAAAGAAGAAGAACGGCTGAAATTGGCAACACTCGGGACACTAAGGAGACTGCTGCTGCCGCAGCCGCTGCCTTTGTCGCTCCCGTTGCCGTAGATGCTGCTTCGGCACCGAGCGCAAAGTATGCCATAACATTTGGCTTTTTATGAATTTTCATAATTTGGCGCATTCGCTGTAATGCCCTGATGCGGGGGAAAGAAAAGCCGGGCAGCCGGGCAGCTGAGGAGCCAACTCGCCGGGGCTGCTTAGCATAAAAATGTCACAACAGCTGCATAAGAATGCTGTCAGGGATTTTGTTGGCATTGGCGCTGAAGCTGGAGCTCGAGCTGGTGCTGAAGCTGGCTGCTTTGCTGCCTTGTTTCGGTTTTTATGCGGCAGGCGTATTATATATTTATATATGAGTATGTGTATAATGTTCAGTGTATGGGTGCGAGGATATGCTTTCCATTTTTTTTCTTGTTTTGTATTTGTGGTTTTCTTTGGCGGTAGCTGGGCGCGACTTTTGCCTATTTTATGAGCGTCATAAAAGTTTACTTAGTGGCCAACCATGCAATAGCCGCAACCATTAGGTAGGGGCGACAGCGGCAGCAAAACCCAACCACTAGCTGAAAGCCAAGCAAACGCGTAAGGGCCATTAAATAATTTGCTTATGTTGCCAAATTCTGCAAGGCTTAAACCCAGCTAGCTGACATGATCAGCCAGTTCATGTGTTCCCTTTTGTTTTTTTTTTTCTTTTTTCAATTTATTGAAAATGAAAACAAGTAAGCTCGCTCTACGCTACGCAGAAGCAGACGCGCATGAATGTGTGTGTATATGTATACAGAAATTCTTGGAATTTACGCTAACTGCCGCAAACAAAGTTTCTTAACCGATCTTAATGAAATTTTCTACAGTATATCTTATTGTACAATAGAATAATTGTTTATTCTAATAAAGTAAATTGCATTTAAATTGTGGCTTAAATTGGTTGGCAACAAGCTGGGTTATTTACTTGATTTATAGTTATGAGGTGGTATCGGGGAGGTGGCGATAGGTATAAATTGAAAGATACTTAATATATATACTTTTCTAGAATAAACATATCACTTTTGGTGACTCAAGCTCTTATTTGCTCAAAAAACGGGATTTCGATATCGATTTTTATCGATTGCTTGGAAGCGGAGTAGGTTATCGACTATCGGAAACAAACTAGATCTGCGCAGGTACTAGGAGGACCCACAGCTAACTTCAAGTTTCTAGCTCTTATAGGTTCTTATATGCTAGCGTTCATACATACGGACAGACGGACAGACAGACGGACATGGCTAGATCGACTCGGCTGTTGATGCTGATCATG